ATCTGTATCTGTATCTGTATCTGTATCTGTATCTGTATCTGTATATGTATCTGTAACTACATATATCTGTGAATGTTTTTTAATATCTGTTTCAGTATCATATCACTAACTAACACTATCTGTATCTACTTCTTCAGATGTATCTTTATTTGCATATCTCATCTTATATAAATCTGTATCTAAATCTCTATTTGTATACCTTTAGCTATATCCGTATCTGTATTGGAATATCTAACTATATATGTACATATGTCTCTCTCATCACATTTGTATCTGTATCTTCACTTGTCTCTCTATCTCTAGCTCTGTCTTTATAAGTGCTATATATGTATGGAGCTGAGATCACACAGGAAATTAACTTGAAATATGGCCACCGTTTTGCCTTACTTCCAAGCAACAATATGAGAAACAATGAGTAGGGAAAAACATATACAAAACAAAACAAAATACTGACACAACTCAGCAAATTGATGAGGCGTCCAGTTGGTAACATATTAGAATGGAAATTAAGCTAACTCTTCTGACTTTAATTACCAATTTGCGATTCGACTAAAGTAAAAGAACAGATAACGTAAAGGCAATACTCAGATAGAAATTGACAAAACTTTAAAATAGTTTTATATATGGTCATGGAGAAATTCTAGCTAAGCGACAATTAATATCTATTTCTATTAATTTTAAAATAGTAAAATTTAAGAGATTTAAGATTTTTTAAATCATGATAAAGAATTTATTAAAATTTTGCATTTTATAAATATGTTCGTAAAAAATATGCTTTCGAGCATTATTTAACAATCTTTACGCGATCGTTTCCGAGAATTCAGACAATATTTAGGTAGCGATGTATGTATGTATGTGAATTAGAAAAATAGATGAGATAAGCTCGTGCTGTGAATCAAAATATATCTATTAACAATGGAAAAACAGGGTATATTGGTTTTGTGAACAAATGGCATCAAGTAAAACGTAAGTCCGTGTGCTCGTATGTGTGAGCGCGTCGATCTCAGAACCTATAAGAGCTAGACTCCCTGTATAACACGTGAATGTAAAACTTGCCAAAAAAGAACGAGAACTATTATCGTTGAAATGTTATCAATTATAAATCTTATCAAAATACAGTTATACAATTATATCTCGTTCATTTTTACAGGTAGATTCTCCAAATTTTTCTTATAGTCATGTCTATTTGATATGATTTCCAACCCTTTCCCTACATATTTGCCAAAAAAAAAAAAAAAAAAAAAAAAAAAACCTATTTATAATATTAGAGACTTGTGGCTTGCCAAATATAATTATCACATTCTGAAAGTTTGATTATTATAGTCCATCTACAAAGAAATTCATTCAGCAAATAGAGGTTCAGAGGATCTTTTAGTCGAGCAATCTTAGCTAGAACAGTTTTATTTGTCATACAATGGAATTTCTTTAAATTTGTTTTGTACATAAGTGCATTTGGAGCAGATTTTGTATACGATACTTACCCTTAGATTATTGTTGTTTCTTTTTATTTATTATATTTATATACTTGTGTTTATTTATTTATTTTAATTTTTTTCCTCTGAATGAAGCCCGCAAAGATGTCAACCGCAAACGCCGACGTTCTTGCTGATTGTAATAATGATGATAATGCTGATGCTGATGATGATGTCAGGTAAATACTGTGGGGAGCAACGGCGATTTGGGTCGTCTGATTCGCAGCACGCAAAAAAAAATAAACAAAAATTTCGAAAAAAAATAAGCAAAAAAAAAAAACAAAAACAACAATAAGAAGTGAGATAAATATGTTTGCGCCGGCGATGACTAACCGATTTTCAATATTGAATTAGTTTTCGTCACTTTATTAATTCTATTGTTGTTGCAGCTTCTGTTGTTGTTGTGATTGTCGTTTTATGATCATTATTGCTGCTACGCATGCGCCACACGCGCTGCTCACAATAAAAAAAGGCGTGAAACAAAAACAATGTGAGAACAAAATTGCACGAGCTCAAATTAATTTACGAACAAAATCCATTAAAGCGCAAAGCAATCAAAAGAAATGAACAAAAAACTCGAAGAAGAAAACAACAAAACAAACGGCGTTTAGCGCGCGTTTTGTTTTTGTTTTGGCTTTTTTTTATTTTTTTGTCGTTTGTTTATCGATGTCAATTTCAATTTCAATTTCAATACGATGCGAAGCGATTCGATTGCGAGTGCTTGTGCACACACTAATACACACTCTCTCTCATACACACACACACACGCGCACACACACGGACACGCCGGCGCAGTCGCCGTTCAGACTCAAACTAAGTGAAAATTGCAAGCGGCCACTCGTTTTATTCAAAGGAAAGATTGGGGAGCCCAGACAGAGTCACAGCCGTAGCCCAATAAGCCGAACCACAGCCGGCGCACGATCACGCTAAGCCAACGCACGAGCGAACGAACGAACAGACGAGCGAACGAACGTGCGAGTGAGTGTTCGCTTGGCAGCGCCGACATCAGCGCACCGCAGCGCAGCGCAGCTCCCGCAATGAATTTTGCTGACGGCAGCGACGCGTTGCGGCGCGAGCTCTCACTCAATGGAGTCGGCGGCGCTAGCGTCGGCGTCTTAATGCCGCGCCAGCTGCATGTGACCCCCAGCGAACACCCCACCAAAAGGAAATGTGAATGCAGTCGCTGTAGCAGTTGCTGTCGGCGTCGACGTCGCTGCTGGCAGTGACCCTGCCACTGTGGCCCATTATCAGCATTGTCATCAGGCGACTCTGCTTGAAGCTTTGGTTGTTGTTGTTGCAATGCGTGGCGCTATCGACGAGGCAACACACACACACACACACATACATCTGTATGTAATTATAATCATATCATGCATATCTCTTTTTTTTTTGCTTCTTTTTTAGTTCTTTATGATGCGCAGAAATGGTTGCCTTATCTCGCTCTAGTTCCAGAAACTGCCACGGAGCGACGACGAGGCGGCGCCGCCGCGGCGTACTCAAGGACGACACCGTTAAATTGTGCAGCACAGCAGTGCCGCCGGCGACGGTGCAAAAAGGGGAGTGAATTGTTTAAAATTATCACATTGTAAAAAAAGGGGGAAGAAGAAGAAGGCAGACGGGATGTGCGCTGAAGAGGATCATTAACAATGCGCCGTGGCGCGCAAAAATAGCCACGGGCAGAACAAATCACATTATTAGTCGGCTTCGACGTCAGCGTCAGCGTTGGCGTCGACGTCGACATCGACATCAACGTCGCGTAGTTGCACGTTATTTTTAAAAATTTGTTGTATGGCGCCCCGTTTGATTTTTAGGCGCCAAGCGGCGGCAAATTGTGGCGACACGTCTGCAGCGGGAGCAACAGCAGCAGCAGCAGCAGCACCAACAACAACAGCAACTACAACAACATGTATACGAAAACAAAGATACAAGATAAGCGCAATTCACGGAGAGGCGCGACAGCCAGCAGACGCCAGCTTCAAGACGCGTCGCGCAGCATCGCCAACGCCGCCGCCGTCGCCGCCGAGAGATCTCTCGATGGCGATGCCAACAGATATCAAGCACGTCTCAATCTCGATTCATTCAGGGCCGGGCCGGGCCGCGACTTGGCCAGAAAGGTTTTTATTTTTTTTTGCCGCCAACGCCGCTCAATTAACAATGAAAAGTCGGTCTGGTACGTCATAATATATTTTTATCTGATTACCAGGCAGTAGACGCCAGACTAGCCACAAATCGTGCGTTGGCACAAACACAACACAAAACAACCACACACACACATATGTATGTACATACATACATGCACATATGGCTACCTCCCAAGCATCATCATCATCCTTGCTATCTGTGTGCTTGTATGCGTATGTGTGTGTATGTTTTTTTCGCGTGACTCTCATGTCAGATCTTTAATCAACAAATCTCACTTGTGGCGCCGCCGGCTCATCAATGTGACGCCACATGCGTTCACCTGAGTGTACATACATACATACATAGTATGTATGTATATGTATAAAGATATGGTATGTATGTATGTATGTATGAGTGGCGCCAACATTGTTAAGCGCCGCTTACAATTTGCAGCTGAATGGATTGTGCTACATTGTGTGGCCAGGTAACGTGGCCTATTGCCCATTTTAATGCCAACTGTGCTACTGACTAAGCTGCATGCTGCGCACTCCTTATTTGAAATTAGAATTTGAATCTACAATTGAAAATCAAACATGTTTTAGCGTCGACCTGTGAATGGCAATTTGACTTGAAGAAGTAAGCAAACTGCGAACAGCTGTGCACACCGTGGCCAGGGATGCACCAATTAAATAAAGTGCGTATCTGATATGCAAACACTTAATATATAATATATGCTTAGTGGTGCAACATAGTTATTATGGTAGTAGAGAGATAAAAACTTTTCAATCTTCAGTATATGTAGCCTATAAACATATATTTTATTTTCCGTAATATTAAATTTACATAATAAACGTTTGGCTAGCGAGCTTACAATTAGTCATTTATAAATCGTAAATATTTCATGAATTAATAGTTTTCTTTGTCAATAAAAAAAATTAGGTGTTTTTATAATTACTTAAATACTTAATATCAATAAATCGAACAGAAGAAATAATTTTTTGTTGCTGTTGATTTCCAAAAGTTTCAATACTTTCTTGAGCAATGTTTTGTTCTTGCATCATCTGTGAGCAGCATACCAAATTTTTGCTTTCAAATGCGCCGCGCATTAAGTCAGCTGTCAAACAATTGGGTGGCAACTCTGTCCGCACTGTTACAGTGCGACTGTCAAAAACGATAAAAAAAAGTTGTCTGCTCGGCATTAAAAATTTCAGCAGCGCTGCTATATATTTTCCAGCATATCGGTAAGTTTTGTTTAAGCCCGAACTAGAGGAGTGAGCTGAATTGGTAAGAGCATGAGCGATTGGCAATTAGTGGCAGGCAGCCAGAACGTAATATTTGACTAGAAGACGGTGCACAGCCTGCTTGCAACTTATGTAATTGCCCACAAATTGAATGTTGTTTGTGTTGTGTATTGATTTGTTGCAGAAAATATGATACGTGCACCGCTCGTGAAGGCGCTGGGCGCCCTCGGCTCTCCCACACACCAAATCGCTAGCCGAGCCGTGCGCACCAGCGCCGTATTGGCTCAGACACCGGCCAAGGCGCCCGAGAAAATCGAAGTCTTCGTCGATGATATACCCGTAATGGTGCTGCCAGGCACCACAGTACTCCAGGTGAGCCGCTGCAACTGCAGCCACAAACAGCTATTCCCAATTCTTCCTCTCTCTCTGCATCTGATCCTCAGGCTGCTGCTGAGGTTGGCGTGGAGATTCCACGCTTCTGCTACCACGAGCGCTTGGCCGTCGCTGGCAATTGTCGCATGTGCCTCGTTGAGGTGGAGAAGAGCCCCAAGCCGGTGGCCGCCTGCGCGATGCCCGTGATGAAGGGCTGGCGCATCAAAACCAACTCTGACTTGACCCGCAAAGCGCGCGAGGGCGTCATGGAGTTCTTGCTAATGAATCATCCGCTCGACTGCCCCATCTGTGATCAGGGCGGCGAGTGCGATCTGCAGGACCAGGCCATGGCCTTTGGCTCCGATCGCTCACGTTTCACGGACATCAACTACACGGGCAAGCGGTAAGCTTCAAGGATCAGGAAAACAAAAGCCAAGCAGATCATTCATTCTTTCCTTTATCGTTTCAGTGCCGTGGAGGACAAAGACATTGGACCTCTGGTCAAGACAGTCATGACTCGCTGCATCCATTGCACACGTTGCGTGCGCTTCGCCTCGGAAATCGCTGGCGTCGACGATCTGGGCACGACTGGACGCGGCAATGACATGCAGATCGGCACCTACGTGGAGAAGCTCTTCCTCACCGAGCTCTCGGGCAACGTGATTGATCTGTGCCCCGTTGGCGCGCTTACCAACAAGCCGTACAGCTTCGTGGCCCGTCCCTGGGAGATCCGCAAGGTGGACAGCATCGATGTGCTGGACGCCGTTGGCAGCAACATTGTTGTGAGCACCCGCACCAACGAGGTGCTGCGCATCCTGCCGCGCGAGAACGAGGACGTCAACGAGGAGTGGCTGGCCGACAAGTCGCGCTTCGCTTGCGATGGCCTCAAGCGCCAGCGCCTTGTGGCTCCCATGGTGCGCATGCCCAACGGCGAGCTGCAGGCCGTCGAGTGGGAGGGAGCCCTGATCGCTGTGGCCAAGGCCTTGCAGAAGGCTAAGGGACAGGTGGCTGGCATCGCCGGCCAGTTGGCCGATGTGGAGGCGATGGTGGCTCTCAAGGATCTGGTCAATCGACTGGATGGCGAGCTCTTGGTCACCGAGCAGGACTTCATCAAGGGCAGCGGCATCGAGGTGCGCTCGAGCTACTTGCTCAACAGCACCATCGCAGGTGGGAGTCATGGGCATGCCCAGTTTCTGTCCAGCTTTTCATTTGACTTCTGCTTTTAGGTCTGGAGCAGGCCGACGCAGTGCTTCTGGTCGGCACCAATCCGCGCTACGAGGCGCCTCTGGTCAACACGCGTCTGCGCAAGGCCTACGTGCACAACGAGCTGCAGATTGCCTCGATTGGACCCAAAATTGATCTGTCCTACCAGCATAACAATCTGGGAGCCGATCCCAACTTGGTGAAGGACGTTTGCAATGGCTCGCACGCATTCTCCAAGGTGCTGGAGGGCGCCAAAAAGCCAGCCATCATCATTGGCGTCGACGTCCTGGAGCGTCCCGATGGTGCTGCCATCCATGCCACCATCTCCGAGTACTGTCAGAAGCTGAAGAAGCCAGTGAGTATTGGAGCGGTCGAGGCCTTCGATGGATGGTAACTCTGGTTGCTTTTCGTTGCAGGACTGGAACCCGTTCAATGTGTTGCATAACAGCGCCTCCCAGGTGGGCGCCTTCGACGTGGGCTACCAGCCAGGCATCCAGGCCGTGCTGCAGGCTCAGCCCAAGGTGCTCTTCCTGCTGAACGCCGATGCCGGCAAGGTGACCCGTGACCAGCTGCCCAAGGACTGTTTCGTTGTGTACATTGGCTCGCATGGCGACAACGGTGCGTCCATTGCTGACGCCGTCCTGCCCGGCGCTGCGTACACTGAGAAGCAAGCGATCTACGTGAACACTGAGGGCAGGCCCCAGCAGACGCTGCCGGGCGTCTCGCCGCCAGGCATGGCGCGCGAGGATTGGAAGATATTGCGCGCACTCTCCGAGGTGGTGGGCAAACCGTTGGCCTACGACAATCTCGACGAGCTGCGTGCCCGCCTCGAAAGCTTGGCCCCACACCTAACGCGCCTCGGCGAGCTGCAGCCGGCTAGCGGTGGCGAGTCCGTCGCCAAGCCCGTGAGTACCATAACTAGTTGATATGTATATAGAATCTCTGCTAATCTGTACTCCGTCCACAGAGCATATCCATCAGCAGCACGCCCATCGATGTGAAGCAAAAGGAGCTGCGCGACTATTTCATGACCGATGCCATCTCGCGCGCCTCCCCAACCATGGCCAAGTGCATATCGGCGGTCAACAAGCAGCAGCGGCAGGACGAGGCCAGGAGCTGCGCGGCCGTCTAAGCTATGGCCGTGTCCCAACTACGATCTGATCTGATGGCCTATAACACACACACATATATTAAATAATTAATGTTGTTTCCATTATATATTTTTTTATTTTTTTTTTTCTAAATGCGTATCCAAACACTTTTTGCTCCTCGCTTATTGTCGAATACTCAATCTAGTCGAGCAGCGAGCAGCGGGCGGAAGTGCGGACGCGGAAACGGAAATGGCGAAAGATATTTGAATAAAAGAAAATTATGGAAAAGAGATGTGCAGGAAGATAAAACAGTTATGCCGGGGGCTCCCAGCAGTTTGTAAATTGTCAAGAATTTGTTCAAAACAAGCAAAAAAAAAAAAAAGGAAAAACAGAAGAAGAAGCACTTATACAACTTGCAAATAGGAAAATAAAATAAAAATACCAGAAATATATAGAAAATACGCGGAATCTAAAATAAACGTGAAGTAGAAAAAATACGTAACATTGTCTGTGTGTGTGTATGAGTGTGTTGCGGGCGTATATATATAGTTGTATACATACATACATATATGTATGCATGTTTGTATGTCTATTGGTATATCATCAATGTCGCACAGAGTGCTCTCTATTTCTATCTCTTTCTATTTATACAGCTCTCTCGCTTTTGCACTCGCACTACTCTAATCGATTGCCAAAAAGAGAGAAGCTGCTCTTACTAAATACATATATCAATATTTATATTTATAGAGATATATTTCATCTACAGCTACAAATTGTAAGGATCAACTAAGATCTAATAACATACATCGATAGGGCGTAATACCCAAGCGAATCTACTTTGGGCATATTGGAATAACAGACCTCCAATGGATGCTGTCTCTACGAACTACGTATATGTATAATTCTTAAAGCTGAGTATGATCTCAGACTGCTCAAGAGCACATATAATTATATTCGTTACATAAACTACTCTATTAAATAATACAACCAATTGTCTTGTATGTGGGTAAAAAACTTCTATTGATCATATTTTTGTACCGTAAAAATACAGATTTATTTATTAATATTTAATCATCTTCATTTAACATAATTTCGTAATTTTGAGTGCACACCGCACGGGGGCCGCTGCGGCGGCAGGAGAAAGGGGGCGGATGCTGCGCTCAGTTCTACTGAAGCCGAAAGTCCTGCCCCTAGTCCTACCCGCCTTCCTGATAGTCGGCTGAGCTATTGTGTGTGTGTGTGTGAGTGTTGTGAGTGTTGTGAGTGATGTGTGTGTGTGCTTGTGTGTGTACGTGTGTGTGCATGTATGCGTGCATGCTACTATCGAAACTAAATTAAAACTTGAACCTTTATCGCTAAGCAGTAACAACTCTCAAATTCGTTGGTCATATCACGGCATCTCCTCGGCCTAACCAGAAGCGAGTGTGTGTTGGGGCGTGCTTTGCTATGTCGGGGTGTACGTGTACGTGGGCGTGTGCAAGTGTGGGTGTGCAGGCGTGTGGGGGGGTGTGGGTGGAGAAATACAATCTTATGGAACGAGGCCCTCCGTTTAGCTGCAGCAGCTGGCGGGCGTGGGATCCAGACCGGAGCGCTTGGTGATGCTCAGACGTGTGAACTCCTCCGCGGTGGTCGGATGAATGCCCACGGTGTTCATCAGCGTGGGGATGGTCAGGCCTGACTTGAGGGCGGCGGCAAAGCCCTGGATGACCTCACCGGCCACCGGTCCCAAGTAGTGCAGTCCATAGACGCGCTGCTCGTCGCTGCGCTGGGCCACAGCCTTCACGTAGCAATAGCGCACGCTCTTCTGCGGTATGAAGAACTCCGTGGGCTTGTAGTAGCCGTGGAACACCTCGATCTCCTCAGCGCCGTACAACTTAATGGCATCCTCCTCGCTGAGGCCGACGCAAGCATACTCCAGCGGAGTGAACACAGTGGTGGCCACATCAGCGTAGTCCATTCGCAGCTCAGAGTCGGCATAGAGGCGGCGGGCGAGCAGGCGGCCGGCTAGGACGGCGACGGGAGTTAGCTCCGGCTTGCCATAGATAATGTCACCGACAGCATAGATGTGCGGCACATTGGTGGTCTCCTCGCAGTCCACCTGGATCTTGTCCTTGTGGGTCAATACGCCGGCATTGTCCAGATTCAGGTCCTCGACCAGTCCCTTGCGGCCAATGGCCCACAGGACTGTGTCGAAGACGTCGCTCTCCACCTCGCCGGTCTCCGTGTTCTCGTACTTGACCAGCAAGCGGCCGTCGGACTGCTTCTCGACAGACAACGGCACTGTTTTGCGCAAGAATGGAATGCCGCGCTCCTCCATAGCGGCGGCCACCAGATTGGCCATCTGCTGATCGAAGCCGCGCAGCACAATCGAGCGCACCATCACAGTGGGCTCGTAGCCGAGTCCCTTGAGGAAGCCGGCGCACTCCAAGCCAATATCTGGAAGTTGTCAAATAGAAAGCCAATGAACAAGGGCTGGATGGATGGGGAGCAAGCTCAAGTCCACTTACAGCCAGCGCCGACGACCAGGGTCTTGCCAGGCTCATGGTCCAGGCTGAACAGGTCATCGCTGGTGATGCCATACTCAACCGCTCCAGGTATATCCGGATAACGGGGACGGCCGCCGACGGCAATCACGAAGGTCTGGGCTGTAATGGTACGCTCGCCGCTCTTCAGCTTGGCAGAAATCGTGTGCGAGTCCACAAAGGTGCCGAGTCCATTGATGTACTCGACTTTTCTGCAAGGAGAAACCAGGACGGTTAGCAGGGACTCAAATGATGGCTGGATCGATCGTGTCATACTTGTCGCGCAGATCGACGCGAGTCACCCAGTTGACGGACTTGATGTGATTCTGCACCGCGGTGACGAGCTTGTTCCAATCGGGCTTGATTTTGTCGTCGACATTCCAGCCATAGGCGGCTGCCTCGTGCACAGCTTCGCCGAGGAGCGCTGCCTGATGCATGAGCTTCTTTGGTATGCAGCCGACGTTGACACAGGTGCCGCCGACGCCCCACTTGGTGCCCAGGGGAGTTGGCTTCACGAAGTCCAGGCAGGCGACGCGTGCGCCATGTGCCACAGCCTCCTTGGCACAGGACAGGCCACCAGAGCCGCCTCCAATAACAACCAGATCGTAATCGTAGTTTCCTGCAAATACAAAAAGGGCAGCGAAGGTCAGTTAGCAATCAACTCGACTTGGCAATGGAGCAGGCCGAGCTACCCTTCAGCAGCTCGCTCAGCTTGCTGGGCTTCTGCTGCCTCTGGCGCAGCCGTATATCCATGTAGGCCGAGCGATATATGCTGCGTCCCTCAGCGGGCCGCTCGTCCGCCAGCGAGGCGGGCACAAACTCAAATAGATGCATTTGGCCGGCCACTGCGGCTTCGACTGCGCCTCGCTGTACGCCAACGAGCAGCTGGAGTTGTTTTGATTGTGATTATGATTGCGATTGCGATAGTGATTGTGTGGTGTCCTCCCGGTGTTTAACTATGCACGTGTGTGTGTCTGCCCTCCGCAAATCAAAGTGGAGCAATCATTGTCGGCCCCGCCCTGACCTGAGGTTTGCTTTGGAATCCAATACGCTTGCCATGGCAACGACAACCGACTCCCCGACTCCACGACTCGACGACGATTCGGTTCGTGTTTGTGGTCAGCGACAGGTCGCGGGGGATTCTAGTTGGATGGGGTGGCCAGAGAGCAGCCAGTCGGCAAGGTGTTGCCTAATTGGCGGTTGCTAGCATTACAAGTGTGATATCTAATTATATTTCACTTATCGATTCGCTCCGTCTATCGATATAACTAAGAACGACGGAGTTGCAAATAAATAAATATTAATCTTACAATTTACAAGCAGAGGTCCTAAAGGTAAAAGCTGTTACCTTTAATGTGTGCTTGTATCCAATTATATTTAATGTATCGATTAACGCCGTTTATCGATAGAACCAAGAACGACTGAGTAAATGAAGATCTGTTGCGAAATATGTATGTACATACATACATACATTGATATTACAGTTTACTACAAACTAAGATCGTTTCGTAAACACTTTATATAATATGTATATTTGCATATTCCGATATTTGTAAATGGCTAAAAATACAAATCATCCCATTGCTTGGCCTAGGCAAAAGTCCAATTGGAGCGGAACGATTCTGATAAGCGTAAGCAAATCAAATATCGAGACGAGAAAATAATAAAGTGTGGAAAGCTTATCGAAGCGTTATAATGAAATCAACTCTAGAACTACCATTTATGATAGAAATATGTACATATGTGAAAAAATGATCATTCTTTGTACATATGCACATGTCTGGCGAATACATACATACATACATATGTATATATCGTATCGTGTCGAGGTTTAGCTATGGCTTATTGATATACAACAATAAAATATGCATAAACAATAGAAAACGACATGCCGAAAGCTAATTAAATTACGTGCTGCTGATAAAGCAGTCAGCTCTTCTAGATACCCCCTCACTCCGGCGCTCCCCTGACCAGACACCCAAAAATTTCCTTGTTAGCACCAAACAGCAAACACGTCACTAACTAGCTGACATTTACGATGCGAGCCCAATGGGAAGGGTATGCCAAGTCACGATTGCATTCCGATACGATATACAAATTCACGATGACGGTGTGCTAATGAAAACGATGATAGTGATAGGCATAGTGACGTAATCCGGCGCTCTCCGCATGCACCAAGAGGATGTGCTGCTTGTGAAATATCTGAAAGCATTCATAATCTCGAACATTCGACCTAAGTGGATCTTGCGAACTGCCTAGGAGAACGGCAAAAACTTGCCATCCCGCTGCTGATATAGTTGTAGTTACAGTTACGGTTAGAAAGCTGTTACCGTTTGCCCTCGAGCTGCCCTCTGCTGCCAAACCTTTCTCAGTCGCGATCGTGACGCTGCAAAAACAGTTACTTCGCTTTGGCTTCACGGTGAGGATCAGAAGTAATCGATTGACGGTTCGATAAGCTAATCATATGACGATACGTGCGTAGCGGAGCGAGGGAGCTTAACAGTTATTACACAATAAGAAAAAAAAAAAACCCACACACACTATCCAAATAGTTTCTTGAGAATGTGGTGGTAGCAGCAGAACAGATAAAAAAAATAGCGGGAATTACGTTTATTCGATAGAAGAGCGCGAGAGAGAGAGAGTTGCATATACTTCTTTGACCCTGTGGCTTGCGGTGTGTGTGGTGGGAGGGAAGCGGGTGTTGGCTGGCTGGCTTACCTCGTAGTGGTTTGACCTTGCGCACGGGCTGTTGGTACATGGCCTGCCGATCGCAGTGCGGATGGTTAAAGGGCGGCACATTTACCCCGGTGTCGCTGGTCGAGCTATCGAGCGAGTTGCGGCCGGTCTGCAAAGCTTTGCCCTGATTGCGTCCAGACTGTTGCGAAGTGCGTCGACTTTTGTCCATTATTGTTGTTTGATTTCGTCGTTGTTGTGGTTGAAAAATATTGATCATGTAGTGTGAGCTATTTGCAGCACTTGATTTTGTAGTACTTGACATTAAAATCGTAGCATGCTGGCGTACCAGCGTTACAGAGAATCTCGAATTCCACAGCGTGAGCGACATGATGTGTGTATATTCAATGTTTATATTACCGCTGAATCACGTTCCCCTCGGTGGTACACAGTACACCGCGGCAACCACTTGATTGCTTTGAGTCTGGTAAAATTATCAAGTTGTTTATTGCGGTACACGATCTTAGCAAAGTTTTCAGTTTTGTTAGCGAAATCACAGACACATAAGAAGTAAAAGGAAAAAACAGCGATGTCGTCGCTGCTCAGCGCTTGGAATGATTGGAAAGTGTAGGCAGCGACGCTCGCTACGTAACAGCAACAGCGACAGCGCAGTTGTATGCGAATGCGCGTCGAAAAGAGAATTCGATGTAGATGGCGGCAATAGCGGCTGGCATAGGGTCGCCAAGCTGTTTGGTTGACCATTGAAAAGAAATTCGTGCTCAAATTATTTACATAATTTGCATTCAAATAAGACACTGGAAAGAGCAACAGTTGGCTGCCACAATCAGGGTTGCCACCTGGCCCAACTGGCAATCCTATCGGGCGTGCATTCGGGTTTTGCATATGGCTGGCAACTCTGTCAGCTGCCGGCCGCTGTGTAGAATTCGCATTTTTTGCTTATTAGAGGAAACACACACACACATGTTAGAGATAAACGTAATTAAAAGCACCGTAGCCACCCAGCGCCTCGTGAAGCAACAATAGTGTAGCAGCTTGTTTCGTTAGTGTCAGTTATAAAGTTTCGACTGTTTATTGTCGCCGCTTAATCGCTCAAGTGCAAATAGACGATTAGATTTCCAGTGAAAACCATTGCACTGCAGGATGAACTCAATACTCATAACGGGCTGTAATCGCGGTTTGGGGCTGGGCCTCGTGAAGGCCTTGAACAAACTGCCGGAGCCGCCGCAGCATCTTTTTACCACATGCCGCAATCTGGAGCAAGCCACAGTAAGTAGTTTTGTCTAGTCATGTCTCAAAGGGGTGACTCATGCATCCCCCACACATCGAAACTACGCGAATAATTAACAAAACTGGCTACAGCAACAATATACATACATATGTATAACCCGTAACGCGAGGGAGACAGCAAGAAATATTCTTGTCTTGTGGCATCACTTCTTATTCCGCTACTTACACTCACCTTTACCTTGCACGGGCGCCATGTTTTGCAGTTTGGGCAAGTGTTTTAAGCTAACGAACAGGATCAGCAATAGCTTCCAAATATTTGAGGAAATCGGTTATCAGTTATACTGAAGATGAACACACTCAGTACGGCACTTTAACGGTTAACAAAAAATAACAAACTTATACTTGTCGAATAACAGTTAACAAGCTACTGCTCTCCCGCGATACACTCGCCAGCGAACGCAAATGCGAAATAAGCGGTAAACTTTTCGCAATTGCTTTTACGCTTTCGGTTCGATGCTTTGGTCGGTCTTTGCAGCTTGTTTTCCAGTTGTGGAAAGCACGAACCATCGATGTATCGACGAATGTGAGTATCGATACTTTTGAGCTCGCAATGCGACTACTACATTAAGTTGGCCGCGTTCACGGCATGATTATGCCGCCAGTTTTGAACAGTAATTTATTGAGATTCACATTGCTCTGATTTATTTTATAGGAACTAAGAAATCTGGCCAAGGAGCACTCTAACATCCATATATTGGAGATTGGTAAGTGGATGCAGTTGTGCGTCTAGCCCAAACTAACATTTCTGCTTTTCACAGACTTGAAGAATTTCGATGAATACGACAAGATTGTTAAACAAATCGCAGAGGTGACCAAAGATAGTGGCCTTAATGTGCTTTTCAATAACGCTGGCATTGCACCCAAGTCTGTGCGCCTCGGCGCCACCAGGCAGCAGGATCTGATTGATACGCTGCACACCAATACCGTGGTGCCCGTAATGCTGACCAAGGCCTGTTTGCCGCTGCTTAAGAAGGCTTCGGACGCCAACGAGGGTGAATGCATGAGCGTTAAGCGCGCGGCAATAATCAACATGAGCTCCATACTCGGCTCCATCAAGTCGAACACAGATGGTGGCCTGTTGCCTTACCGAGCCTCCAAGGCTGCCCTCAATGCGGTCACCAAATCGATGAGCATTGACCTGGCACCCCAAAAGATTCTGTGCGTCAGCTTGCATCCTGGTTGGGTGCGCACCGACATGGGTGGCAGCAATGCCCCGCTGGATGTGACCACGAGCACCACAAAGATTGTGGAGACCATTTGCCAGTTCAACGAGTCGCACAACGGTGGCTTCTATCAGTACGATGGAGCAGAGCTGCCCTGGTAGAGCCAAGCGCCGTAGTTAGCGTCTACACAGATCATATATCATATATGTACATATATATATTTTGTTGCTATCTATGTAAATTATTGCTGGTGCTAAAACAAATGGGTAAAAATCATAAGCTTGTTTTGCATCTACAGCTGACGTGGCAGCCGTGGCAGCCGTGCCGACGAAATCTCAGTTAGAAGAGCTCTAGCGCAGGTCAGAGCATCGGCGGCTGCGATGATTGGGGCTGGCCATCGCCTGGTCCGTTCATGGGGTATGCAACGCGTTTGCGCAGGTCGAGCCGAGGTCGCCGATTGCCGCTGTCTGCACTCACTGGCGGCGGATCGTTCCAGCCGGGCGTGAGTGAACCTGAGGTTAGACGACATATGTAAATATGTTAACCAAAGACTTGCCGTCGTTTAATTTACCTGGAAATGCACCACTCGGGGCTATTGTCTGCCCCATGGGCGGGGGTGGCTGCTGCTGTGCTGGCGGTGGAGGCGGTGGTTGCGGTGTCATGTCTATATCACTTTCAATTTAAAATTTCTAACTAACTGTGAATGTTATTCCGCTGATGTTTCGTAGCCAAAATTCGGAGTGTTTATGCTTATTATTGTTTTCTCCTTTCGCCAAGTGTCAACAAATTTGTGTGCGCAGCAAGTTTCACGCGTGGGCAATGCTGCGCGCAGCCAACTTCAAGTGAGAGCACGAATCGCGCGCAGCCAACTTAGCACATTTTGAATTGAAAACGTTAATTTGATTAGGGAATGTTGCAAATTGCAATTCCCAGTTAGGTTAGATAGCCAACAGAAGGGCTTTGCAGATCTGATTGTTTGGCTAATAATTTTAATAATAATACTATTAATGTAAAGGTCTCTAGCTGTAATTTTGTTTACCTGTGCCATACAAAAGCTGCTGTTGCGTTCTTTTCCGTATGTGAAATCCATTTTATAGGTGTCCTTATCCAACTAAACTCGTATACTCTATTTGATTGCAGCAGTCTAGGGTCTTAATTCATTTTTAATATTAGCAAATTTACTTCCCTAGAAAACATTGCCTTATGCGAGTGATAGTCATAACGAAAGGAGGTTGAAATTTGCACCTTGCAGTTTACCTGAAAAATGTGATTTGTTAGCCCATCGCAGAATGTATATACATACAATATTTAACCATTAACACTCAGCTGCATACCGTAAATAGCATTGAAATTGTACGCCCAGGCAGTTGGACGTGAGCGCAGCCAACTTTAAGCAAGTGTGTATATGAAGCGCAGCCAACGTAATGCATTTTGAATTTTAGCACGTTAATTTGATTAGGAAACCGTTACAGAAAAGAACAGCACAGAAGCCATAAAGCAAAACAGATAGACAAAAAGCGAATAGAGAGAGAGATATGCAAGAAACGACGTGAAGTATACCTTAGTATTACCTGTATATATAGAAAATATAAAAATATAAGATTTTATTCGTTGCGGTAAATAGAGTTTGATTCAAAAATTCATTAGTGTGAAATAAGTTTAGTATAAATATCGTCCATACTTAATATATCGTTTATGTAGACATTGTTGCTTCTCTGGCATCTTACAATAGCCGCTGTCACACGCACAAGAGTCTTGAGTCTAATCTTGTGCAGTGGCCAGCAGCTGCAATAAGCACCGTTCCCAAAGGATCTGGATTCTATATACTTGTATATAGAGTGGTATATCTAACACTCGCACTGTAGCACTTGAAAATTTGGACTGTTTTGCTGTGGCTGGACGAATTTACTGCTGGGCTTGGCATAGTTTACGCCATTTCGTGAATTGTTGAATTAATGATAAGCCAATAGGGACGACATATGTTCCGGTTCCCAATTCTAAGTATGCGGCACTCGTTTTAAATATTTAAATCGCCTGTGGCGATACGATTGTTGTTGTTGTTGTTGTCGTGTTGTTGTTGTTATTGTTGTTGTTCCAATTTTTTTTTTTAATGAAATTTTGTTGTATACTTATTGATTTTCAATTGAATGCTTCAGTTTTTCTTGCAGATGGGCTCCGATTTTCAAATGGAGTTCGATGAATGCACAATTAAAAAAAATTGTTTAAAAAATATGTGAATATATACATGTATATATGGATGCATTTATGTATATTTGTTTGTTGTTTGTGTTTATCCTTCTTTGTTGTTGTCACTGACAAAAAAAAAAATAGTTATTGTTGCCGCTTAATTAACAATGTTTAACTGAGACATTGTTCTGGCCGCTCTGCTGCTTTTATAGTTGCATTCCTCGCCGTCACAGCCGACGCTGACGCTGGCGTTGGCAGCGTCGTCCGCATCCCTCACATAGCAGTTGTCGCATTGCTCGCCTTACCTGCTACCACACACACACACACACACACACGCTCACACGCACACACGCACTGGTCACCGGCGAAGTCTTACATGTGTGTGTTTGTGAGCTTGTAATATTATTAGACGTTCTTAGTGTGCGAGCAGCTGAGTGTGTGTGTGTGTGTGTGTGTGTGTGCAAAAGCTGAAGAAGAAGAAGAAGAAGAGGAAGAAAAAGAAGAAGCAGCAGCAGCAGCAGCAGTGTATGAAGTGAAGGTGGGAAAAGAACCGTTGCCTGCTTTTAGGTGCGCGCCGATTGCAGCAAATCAAAAAGAAATACAACAACAAACGGTAAGCAGCAGCAGCAGCAGCGGCGGTGGCAGCGACAGCGGCAGCACACACATATATTGAGGCAGGCTTGAAAAGCAGGCAATGGAAATATGATGCCGTTTACGTATGCGCCATGGCTAACTTCAATGTGGCTGCCCCATGAGAATTGCTGCAGCCTGAGGCCGAGAAACCTCGCGCTGCCACGTTCCGGAAAAAAGCAAAAAAAAAAAGAAGCACAAAATAAACGAAAGCAGCTGGAATGAAAGGCACATGTGACACCTTTAACTGACCCCCTGTCTCTGGCCCCAACCCCCAAAACGGCCCCGCACTTGTATGGCATCGCCGTTTGGAATGCTTCGCTGCGCTGCGCCCGTACAACGGGACCTGGGGAATCTCAACAAGGTAACCAGCGGGCAGCAGCAGCTTAAAAAGACAACAAAAACAACAGCACCAGGGGAGGAGGGGGAGGGCGTGTGTGCTAGGGGCTGTGCCGCTTAGCGAAAATGGCGCGTATCAAGTGACAGATTGTCTGCGGCAAAGAGGCCAACAGCTAGCCTAGTATGCTTGCCGATATTTTGGCGGGGTGGGCGGAGTGTTATCCCCATTGCTGTTGCTGTTGTTGTTGCTGCTGTTATTGTATTCGTTTGGCTTTCTTTGCTTTTGCTGCTGCTGATTCCACTAGCACGCGTTGTTGTTGCTCTTCATGTGAAACCATAATTTTCAAAGCAGTCGACACACACACAAACACACACACACATGCACACACGTATATATTGGTCACACTTTTTGACACCTTGCCTTTGCCTACCTTTTGGACTGCTGTCTCGTTTTCACTCACACACCTACATATAGACATACACATAAACGCACACACACACACTTACACCCACACATGTGTTTGGCATACAAAATTATGGAAATCCTTGCCAGACTACGCAAATCTCTCAAGGAGTATCGAATGCCTGAATCTTGCATAATTATCAGCTAATTAGCTATCCTTAAGCGTTGACTGTTTTCCACTAAAGTATGCTATAATCAAGTCAAGAGATATGAATCGATCCTAATTGAATTTGTATCCTCTATATTTAAGTATATATCTATTCGTATAGCTCTCTCCGTCTATGGACATCCATATCTCTCACTTTCAACTTCTCTGTCATTTTCTTTTTTACAATTTCTTTCCATGTCGTCTTCTGTCTGTCTGTTGGCCTCTCACTCCGTCTGTCTCCGTTCTTATTTCTATCTCTTTCTCTATCCTGTACTCCCTGCCTCTGTCTACTTTTCTCTGTCTGCCTCGCTCTCTCTTCCTGAATTTCTCTTTATCTATCCCTATATATGTGTCTATATCTAGCCCTCTTTAACTATCTCTTCTTTCCCTCTCTGTGTCTCTCTCTCTCTCTCTTTCTGTGTCTCCATCTAGGAGCTACTACCAATATCACCTTGAGTTTAATTTAAGTAAGTATATGAAATGAGGATTAGATTTATTATTCAGTTTTCATACATTCATAATACCTTTATCATCTATCTATCATATACATATATCTATATATACATATGTATATCACATATACGTAATAGCTTTATCGGCAAAGCATGCCAGCAATGATCCACATGATGATTCTACTTCGAAAATTGTCTACCACTCAAGCTCTATATATAATTACTTTTACATGATATCTATCTATCTGTAGAGATAGGAAAGAATTAAAGTTAGAGTTACAATGGATGAATCAGCTGTCTGAGGGAAACCATATGCTATGCTGCAGAGATCGTTTCCTCTATTCCAAGTTGTTATCCAACTACGACTATGGACAGTATATTTGGAGCAAAGGGCCCAAGGGTTTCTCTTATCGTGGATTGTTTTAATTTTAATATTATTATTTAATTGATCTACAGGCGTCATAGCACTGTAGAACTAAAGACATGTGAAATTTAATGTATAGAAAAGAGATTTTTACCGAACAACATATACCGATTCACTACCAACCTTTCCAATAAGCCTAGCTATATATTTCAGTGGAAGGATTGGCAGTAAATCGGTATATTGTATTTGCTAAATACATGCATACGTACATCCCCATATGTATATGCCAATATAAAAGTCTTTACCTTCAACAAGAAATATCGAAACAAGCATAAAAATCAATAATATTTCACATGCCCAACCGTTTGCTACTAGCTCTTAACTGTTAATTGTTAGTTAAGTAATTGGAGAGACAAGTATTATAATTATTCTGCAACAAGCAGAAGCTAAATAAATAGCAGGTTAGATTATATACACAATGCGATAGGAGAATATTGGCTTTGAGCAATTAGCGTCTCCAGGCTCTATTTTCTACACTTTTCTAGTTGGATATTTATAGTTATACGTATATTAATGCCTTTGGGTGTAGGTAAAGTAATTTACATACTTCACACCTACAGAGCTGAAATACCCGATGCTAGCAAGTGGATCAGTGTTGGCCCGTCTATAGATATAACTATTAGTAATCAGAAAATATTGATTTTACACTCAAGTTAGTTGTAGTATTATGCAATTATAGCGTTCTAATTAGTCCATCTATTCCTCTCTCTGTTTTATCCGGACTTGAAACTAAAGTCAAAGAATTCATGTCATCCAAAATTTTAAAGGTTTACCCAATAAGTCCACTAGTAAATCTGGAATCAACTTCTCTGGTATCACTAAATTTTCGTTTTGCTTAATAAGCCAGTTCAAATGATTACTCCTTGAGCTGAAGCGAGCAGCTCCTTAAATGTCATTGCATTCGCGTGACATTGATGCATTAAGGATACCTTGGTAGTACCCAATCGCCCACACAGCCGCCCACACGCAGAGAATGCAAGTGATAGGATTCCTATAGCTGAGGTTGTCTCACAAATGAGTTGCAACAGGAACCATATAAGCCGTGAACTATGCCTTTTGATATTTGCATAGTTCCGTAGGACTTCCAGTTTCAGATTAAGACGGCAAACACAATCAGGCAAAAGCCAGAATCTGTTGGTGAGTCATATTACATATAATAGTTCAATTTGAAGCACGGTTAAATTAACTTATTACAGGTGTTTGTTGAAAAATAATTACAAACAGCTGTACGACATCAGAAGATATATGTATGTAGGTTTATTATATAATCTGAATAGTTTTGTCACTATCTGCTCTAGGTTCAATAAAAAGAGAGAGAAGTCTTAAAGAAGTCAAAGAAAGAGAGACAGAGTGAGAGAGAGAGAGAGAGAGAGAGAGAGAGTGGGAGGGATATTCAGATGAGGGATAAAATATGACAGAATAATTATATTTTGGGGAAATAAAAATAGTTCTTCATTGAATTAGGGAAATTTTAAGAAATATATTGGTTTGTTAAGTGACATTCCATGTCGGTTGAGTCAGAGAGAGAGAGAGAGAGAAAGAAAGAGAGTGAGAGTGAGAGAAAGAGAGCGAGAGAGAAAAAGAGGAACAGAGAAAGAGAGAGGCAGAAAAGAGAGATACATATATTTGATGAGGATGAGTCACGCACAGAGAAGTAGAATGATTGAGCGAGAGAGAGGGATGGGGAACAAAAATAATAAAGCAGAGCGATAGATACACAAACAGAGAGGGAGAGAGAAAGAGTGCAAGAAGCAAAGACACAAATATGCTTATATAAAAAAAATTGATAGATTTACAATGCGAGGGAGAGAGAGAGAGAATAAGAGAGATATGCGGAGAGATGGAGGAAGACAGAGAAAGACTGGGAGTGAGGGATTTAGAAAAAGACAAACAAATAGATTAAACAGAGTAAGAGAGCAATTAAAAAAAAAGAGCTCAAGAGAAAAACAAAAGAGAGAGACAGAAAAGGAGAGAAACAGAGAAAGAAATAGAGAGAGATAGAGAGAGAGAGAAAGAGAGAAAGAGTGAGACAGACAGTAAGATACAGAGATCGAAACAGAGAGAGAGAGAGAGAGAGATAGAGACAGACAGTAAGAGAGACGGAGAGAGAGAGAGAGAGAGAAACTGTAAATTTTGTTCACTTTGTCACTTTCAGGGTTACATAGTGGGCTAGAGGGCTGCGCCTCGTGTTTGGCTGGGGCTGATTTGTGGTGCGTGGTATGCACGTCAGACGTGTCCTTAGCAGCAACAACGGCCAGGGCAACGGCAACGGCAACGGCAACGGCGACGGCACGAGGCGGCGAGGTCAGTGCAACCAAAGTGCACGACGCGACGTCAATGCGCGCTCAACAAAAACCAACAACAACAACAGCAGCAGCAGCAACAACAACAAAAACAACAGCAACAAGACTCGAAATCAATGTTGCTGCAGCAATGGGGCAAGGCGGGGCGGGGCGGGGCGTTGCGGGGCATTAAACGATTTGCTTAAGCGTTTATCTAGGACACGCGACTTTGTCTGGGCCTGGCCTCGGCTGGTGGGCTCGCCAGCTGAGCCACCCAAACATCCCGACCCCACGACTCGCCCCCGCCAAACAGTTGATGACGTAGCAGACGCCTGCGGTCGGCTCGGCTTTTTTGGCTCTGGCTTGGCTCGACTTCGGCTGCCGTTGTCGTTGCCTCGGCACTGGGTTACTGTGTTGCTGCTGCTGGTGCTGCTTGGTCCTGACCTGCGCCTGGCCGTGCAGCCTCAGCCCCGGCCCAGATGCTGCCTATGACGTCAGCAGGCTCGGCTCGGCGGGTAAATGGCCTCTGCCAGCTCAGTCACATGTTGCTGGCACGTAGCCACAACACACACGCACGCACACACACACATTCTTGCAGCGCCCGTTGGCAGGCAGCGACTGTTGCTGTTGCTGTTGTTGGCATCTGTACTTGGCTGGCTCAAACTCCGCCCGCAACATAGTAAATTGTTTGGCCAAAGTTATGTCACAAGTTCACATTTCAGCAAACATTGCTCGCAGTCATCGAGACTCTTTAAGTGACTTGGCCAAAGCTGCTTTTCTCCTTCGCCATTTCCCGTATTTCTCAATATTTTTCCATCAATTTTCTGCAGTCGAGTTTCAGCTTAAGTTCTTGATGACTTGAATGGGTTTAGAGTGCAGCTCCAAGAAGATATTTATATATATATATAAATATAAATTGTTTCGCTTTGGCGAAGTTCGTTTGATATTCTGAGCACTTCACTTCTTCAGCTGGAACTGATTGGGGCCAAGATTTTTGATGGCTTTCATTGTCTCAGTGAATAAATATATTTCGTATTTTTGCTAACAGATACAGAGTTTGGATATGTGATATATGTCCGGTTTTAAAGACTCCACTTACAGACGAACTGTACCTTATATGAGCAAACTCTTACGGTTATTGGGTCTTCCGGGAATAACGACGGTCACTTGAGCGTCGTTATAATCGGGTTCTACTGTCTCTGAAAGTTCTTGTCTAGATATATAATCTATAGATATATCTATAAATA